TTAGTTAAAAAAAAATTTTTTTAAATATTTTAATTTTTTAAAAAGTTAAATCATAAGTATTTATATTTAAAAAATTAAAGGCAAATTTGCCCCTAATTGGCTTACAGATTAAGGGATAAGTTGATCGTCCAATCGATATAAAAATTTTTTAGAAAAAAAAACCTTTACAGCTTAAAGTATAGAAGTTCTCTGCACAAATACAACTTATAAAAAAAAAACTTGCGGCGAACTGGTGTTTTGAAGTAGACTTTGAGTAGGCTTTAAGTAAAATAAATCCTGTAGAAAACGACCAACAAGTGGCTTCCAGTTATAACAAAACCCATAGCAAACCTCATGGCAAACCCTATAGCAAACTTCACAACAAAACCTCACGGCAAACAACAAGAAAGCAAGACTTCTGATTGTAATAAAACCCCACGATAAACAGCAAACGAATGAACAGTTTTACAATAAACTAATTATAATTAAAATAAAATAAAAAAATAAAATAAAAAATAAAAAAGAACTTACAGTAATGACAAACTTTGGTCAATTATAACTACGTGACTACACCAAGCAATGTTAACTATCCAAAAATGTTTTTTAATATGGATGAAACGTTTGAACTTTCTACTGAGGATTTCAACAAGCAGTGGGCTCATGTTGATAACTTTTAGACAAAGTTCAGTAGTTACTTATTAGATAATGGTAATGAACGTAAAACTTTCATTTGTAGACTTTCAAAACCTAAAGAATCAAGTGGAAGAAAAGAAAATATTCTATCTGAAAAGCTTCGTGTAATCTGGAAAAGACTCTCTAATAATTGTGAAGCTAGAATTAGAATAACGTGGTTAGTGGCATCGAATATGGTTAGAATTGAGAGGGTAAGATAAGGGTAGCATTATTTAAAACATTGTAATGTATTATTGTTTTTTTTAATAAACCAAAAAAAAAAAATGTTTATAGGTGTGTGGTACCCCTAATCATAGCCATTCGATAGAAGAAAGTGATATATGAAAATGGTCAAATTCATTAAAGATATGGTAAGAAATGAGGCAATTAAGGATTACAAACCCCCGATGATTGCAAATGTTATTAGGAAAGAAGTTTCTAAATTGTATGAAGACTCAGGCGTGGAATATTTAAAAACTAAGGAGGTGGTTAATATCAAGCAGAAGCTTGTTGGTCTTATGAATTCGCATCTTATTGAAGATGTGGATTTAAAATCTGATATTTTAAGTGCAACTGAATTTTTACTAAAAAATAATTTTCAAGTCGAATTTTTTC